TCCAGATGATATTTTATTGCTTGATGCATTATTGTGTCACATTTGATGAGGACGCGGCGTCAGACCTGAAAGTTTTGGATCTGAAGATGATCTACTTACTGTGAATGTTTTTTGTATGTCTGTGTAGAGCAGATGAATTATTGAAACACTTCCCACATGCAGTGCAGTGATACGGTTTCTCTCCAGTGTGGATCCTCTCGTGTGTTTTCAGATATGCTGCCTGACTGAATCCCTTGTCACAGTGTGAACACTTGTAAGGTTTTTCTCCAGTGTGGATCCTCTTATGCCTTTTCAGATGTGCTGCCTGACTGAATCTCTTGTCACAGTATGAACACTTGTAAGGTTTTTCTCCAGTGTGGATCCTCTTATGCCTTTTCAGATGTGCTGCCTGACTGAATCTCTTGTCACAGTATGAACACTTGTAAGGTTTTTCTCCAGTGTGGATCCTCTTATGCCTTTTCAGATGTGCTGCCTGACTGAATCTCTTGTCACAGTATGAACACTTGTACGGTTTCTCTCCAGTGTGGATCCTCTCATGCTGTTTCAAATTGTTCACTGAAGTAAAAGTCTTTTCACACTCAAAGCACATGTACTCTCTCACACCAGTGTGTGTTTTCTGATGTTCTTTCAAAATCTGTAGACGTGAAAAACTCTTTCCACACAAACAACATGAATGCAGCTTCTGCTTTGTATGAACTCTCATGTGTTTCATCAGGTATGATGCCCTCAAAAATGATTTGCCACATTGATCACATGTGTACAGCTTCTCTCCAGTGTGGATGGTCATGTGATATTTAAGATGTGCTGATTGTGTGAAACTCTTCCCGCACTGATCACAAGAGACTGGTCTCTTCCCGCACTGATCATAAGAGAATGGTTTCTCTCCAGTATGAACGTTCATGTGCCTCTTAAGGTGTCCTTTTTGTGTGAAGCTCTTCCCGCAACAATCACACTTGTACGGTTTCTCTCCAGAGTGGGTCCTCTCGTGTCTTTTCAGGATTCCTGAATGATTGAATCTCTTGTCACAGTGTGAACACTTGTACAGTTTCACTCCAGTGTGAACTCTCATGTGAACATCAAGATTATGTTTGCTTGTCAAACTCTTTCCACACCGAGTGCAGGTGAAAGATTTCTTGGCTCCTCTTTTCTTTAAATCTTTCTGTTTGGTTTGAGAGCAACTCAAAGGTTTTTCTCCAGTGTTGACATGATTTTTCTCCTCATCTTCATTCAATTCTTCGTTCTTTTCAGTTTCTTCAATAAACTCTAAAATAAAAGCAAAAACAGTTTATTTGTCAGTAGCTTGAAAAACAAAACAAAAAAAAACAGAAAAATGTGAAAGAAATTGTCTTTACACCAGGGTTCACTTTTATGTACTATCAAAAATGTTGTTCCTTTTGATGCAATTTTATAAATTATACTTCCCTGAAACTTTTCATGAATGATGTACATTGATCAACCCTGGTGTAACAGTGTAAAGGCAATTTCTGTACAAAATTTTGTTATTTTTGATGCAATTTTATAAATTATATATCCCTGAAACTTATCATGGAGGTACATTGATCTTCAAAATATATTTTTAAAAACATTATAAACACAAATACCATGTTTATAGAGAGAAATATTAAATGTTTGATTAACCACACAATTATCTAACATACATTTATTGTTTGCTGCTCCATCTAGTGTGAAAAAGTGTGAAGTGAAGTGACATGTGGCCAAGTATGGTGACCCAAGCTCGGAATTAGTGCTCTGCATTTATCCCATCCAAAGTGCACACACACACACAGCAGTGAACAC